TTACAAACAATGCTGTAATGGTATATATTTTAATTTCTTAAAAATGTTTATAAACAAGCTATAATTGTATTAAAATTTGTTATATGTATTATAACTCACCATAATATGCCTTACATTTTTTGCAGTACTGTATCACCAAAATTTATTTCCCAAAATCAATTTCAAGTGAAAATCTCCCCCATTTGATATATTGCTAAGTAGTGCCAGCTTAGTTCATAGATTCGGCTGGGGAGAAAGGCAGTGAAACTTAAAGTCAATCAAGAAAAACAATTTTTGAAAAGTGCTTGCAACAAAACCGAGCGCAACGAAGGATTTTGAAAAATATTTGACATTTACATTGAGGAAAACTCGGCAGAGGAACAGCGGGAGGACGTTGAGCGCTTGTTTAACTTAAATTGCTTTGCTCTGGCGTTGTAGAGATGGCGAAACAAAAGCCAACAACTGCAACTTTGCTCAATGCGCTTCCGTTTCCGCTCACCCAGCACCTCCAGCTCCCCTCGATTTTCCCACCGTTTTTCCCAACCGCTTTTCGCGAGCAACTCCTTGGCACAGCCAAACTTTGGCATTGTTGTCTTTGGCTGTTGCTTGTGGCAATCACTTTCATTCCGTTTTCCCCTCAGAAAAACCGCCAAACACTTCCGCACCATCCGTGCACCTCTTAAACCATGTCTTTGTGGCAAAGTTTAAGTATAAAATTAAGTTTCTTTTGGCTTGGAAAATGCATTTTCCAGCGTCAGCTTGATTTACCCCATGGAATTGCATACGGTTTTTGATTGAGCAATTAGGGCAACAACACCGAGGGTTCGCTGCGGTTCTGATTGCTTTTCAAATTTCATTTAAAGTGTCAGCCACACCAGAGAAACTATTCCATTTTCATAATTTGACATCCATTGCGGGACAGTTTTGGCTTTGTATTTCGATTATGTGAGTTTGGCATGGTAGGTGGTATGGTTTCTGCAGAGGAAATGGTCGGAGTCCCCTGTCCAAATGTCCCATACAATGGACCGCAGTCATGATTAGTGGTCGCCATGACTTCTGTCCTGCTGTTTGCCATTTCGAACCAGTTTCGGTCGGAAAATTGCGAAACATTTTTGGACATGGCAATCGAAATTGGGGGTGAATGTTATGTAGATATCAGAACAGAGATTTTTCAAGCGACTAGCAACATTCATTTAAAGGCGTTCCTCGCATAAATGGGGCTTTTTAGTTTTAATTCAATATTTTGTGTCCTTTTTCAAGTAAAGAAAAACTTAGTCTAATCAATTTAGCTTAATTTTTGCCTAACTTCACTTAATCTTTTAGATGTGAAAGTTTTTATTAGTTTTATTATTTTTTTTTTATTTTTCTAGTGATGATTTATATATTTCATTTCTGCCAATGAACACTTACTAAAATCCTGATAAATTGTATACATATCGAATTTATCAATCCCTTAGAGACCAGCATTGCTTAAAATAAACAAAATCAGTTTCACAACTTGATTAAAACCACCGTGTCCGACTGATAACTTAATTTTAAAAACATTGGCCAACCGATGACATTTAAGGCCAAACGCTTAATTGCAAGTGCCAATCGGCAGTTTCCCCGATCAGCAGGACTTCCTTTTCCGCTTTTCGCCCGCTTTTAACCCGCTCCCACAACAATTTTGCCACTTTGGCTTATCGCACAACGTCCTGGCGATGTCCTTGCCCTCCTGCCGAAGTGAAAACCACAGGGTGAAAAACAAATATAATCGTAAGCGAAAAACAAACAAAATGCAACTTGCAATGAAAATGAAACCACAAAATGGGGCGTGGCAAAAGGGCTGACAAGTAAAAAAAACGTAAGCCATTTACTCGTTAACTGTTAATTCAGAGCCAGCAAATGAAGAGGGCACAAACACTGTAGTTGCTCGAAATTTATTTTGCAATCAAAATGGTAAGATGGTTTTAAAAGTTAATATCCTAAATATCTTTAAAATATCATTATGGAGCTAATATTAATAAAGTGTACCTTTAAGAATTACAAACTATATATACAATTATTATTTTTAAAAAATTTTTTGTCGAAACACTTTTCGAATCTTCACTGTAGCTGCAATGTGTGAAAGGGCAAACGTGCCGGAGTGTGGCTAATAACAAAGCGACAGTGCCAACACAACACATTTGCACATCAAATTAGATTTAATTTCGAAAACAGCGCAAAAAATGTCTCTTTTTCAGCACGAAAAACAAAAAGAGCAACAAAATTGGCATTAGCAAAAATGGAGAACTCGAAACACGAACACGAAAACCAAGTCAACACGCAGGATCAACAAAAAACGTGAAAAATGTGACAAGCCACAGACAAAAAGTCGTAAAGATGCCAAAAAAAACACACAGGAAATGGAGTCACGTGTCCTTTACGTTTAAATTACTCCGCTGGGAACACTCGCACTTACATATGAGCATACACATGCACGCGCGAATGCAAGTTAAGCCCTATAAGAAGTCCTTTGAAACTCACTTATCCTTTCAAGGATCCTGCGAGAGGCTCTCGGAATCACACAACAATAACATTAATGACAGCACAACATACGAATTTTAAATTTGGCGGGCATTTATTTAACAGTGCTGCTAACTTTTACGCAGCCGGAATTTGGCAACACTGTCACTGTTGTTTTACAGCACACATATAACATTTTTGTTTTATCTAACAGTCAATTTCCCGCCAAAATTCAAGTAAATTAAAAAATAATAAAACATATCAAAACAATCACATGTTATATATATATATATACAAATTTTAATAATTTGTTTCAATTGAGGAACGCTGTCACTGCTTTTTTACATGATTACTGATTGTCTTACTTAACAGTCGATTTGCTGCCAAAATTCAAGCAAATTGAAAATAATAATACTAATTAGAACAGCTTTTATAGATTTTAAAATTATATAAAAAACTTGGTAGCATACAACAAAAGCTAAAACAGTATTAATTGTTCAAAAAGTGCAATAAATTAATATAAAAGTATATTCTGTTTTACAATTAAGTTTTAATGTTGCTTAAAATTCAATTTACCATTATGAATTACATTATTCAAAGCCATAAAGCTAGTTTTATTTCGCACCAAATTAATAAACATCCGCTTTTAAGTTCATTTCTCATATTGTTTGATTGTTTATGGCTTTATGGGGATTTCCCGCCACATATATGTATGCAAGCTGACCACCGTGAAACGGAAAAGCCTCATATAAACCCGTCATATTCGCGCCAAGAAATGGGGATAACAATTCATACCGGACACTCAAAAAAAGGTAGAAGCCTACCTAAACGACTTTTGAATGCCCTGAAAATTAAATTTTATACCTCACCTAGAGATGGCCAGTGGAATTATCCAATTAGAGCACCTCCACCTCGATATCTACCCAGTTTTTCTATTCGAATTTGACGGTGAACATGTTAATTCCCTGTGGCTTTAATTGACTGCAATTTCCATGGCAATTTAAAAGAGATTTTCATTGCCTTCGGGCACCTTCGATTGCATGTGGAGCTGCAGTCTTTTCCTGCATGGATTTTCTTCGTTTGCGGGTATCAAGTGAAAATCATCAGTTTTCATTTCTAGCGTTTAGAGTCGGCCACCCTTTTTCGCCATTTGAATGTGTGGCTCATTTTTGAATTGCAAATGCGGCCACCCATTGCAAGTGCATTTCTCACATGTGCATGGGGTTTGAATTTTAAGGGGCGGAGCGGAAAAGAGGTCCTGGCCATCGCATGCCAGTCGAACATTGCAGCTTTGTAATGTCCTGCTGTTAGCGCCAGTTGCCCATTTGTGTTGCTTTTCTGTTTAGCTGCTTTCCCAGCGTTGTGATTTCGGGGTAATTAAAAACCGGTTCACTTGTAAGCTTACGATTTCGGTTGAGCTCCTTGGCGTATGCGTAATTTAAATATGTCTATTAACAGCTCTTTCTTGAAATTTTTATATTAAGAATTAAATATTAAGTATACATCAAAATATAATAAGTTTATTCTGGGAAGAAGAAAAACAGGGTTAAAACATATTTTCTGTAATATAACAACAGGGGCACATTTAATAATAAATACAAATATTGGTTAGGTATTTTAATGTTCATATTATATTCTTAGTAAATTCAAAAAGTTCAAAAAATTAAATTTTGTAGATCTATAATTTTTATGTTTAAGATTTTGTTAATTATATTATGAACCACAATATGATTTATTTTAAGCTTTCAAATTCTTGTAATTTTAATTTCTAGGCTATCACCAATTCGATACCTTTAAAATTACCTTAACTAATTCCCCTTTTCTTCTTGAGCAAACACACTTTGTGACTAACTAGTATGCAATTCTTGCTCCAGCTTGACTATTAAAACTTAATTAAAATTGCATGCACTTTAACCTTCGCCCTGAACTTTAATTGCTTTTAATTACAATATATTTATATGCGCTTGACACGACTTACACGCCCACCTGGCAAGATTATATAATCGTTAAGACCATAACCAAATGAGACATTAAATGGAAGCAAAGTGATATTGTTTGGATTTTTGGAGGTCGTTTAAACTGAATATTTAATCTTTGATTGATATAATTGAGAATTATTATGATGAATTATTCATAGACTTAAACTATTGTGATACAATTACGAATTTTGTTGATACATAAATAAGTCAATTTAGTTTTTTATACCTTCTTAGATTTAAACATTGTTTTGGCGGGAACAAAAGAAAATTAACATTTCCCTGTTAGTTAGCAGAGTCATGTTAACAAATTATACTGATTATATATTATTAATTTATGTTGATAAAATATAAATTAAGTTGTATTTTTTATTTAAATCTTAGCAGCTAACTCTGTTTTCACTCATAAATAAAAATATAATATGCTGTACAGTGCATAAAGATAATTTAAAATAAACATTAATATTAATTAAAACAAACGATCTGGGTGATTACCCGATACATTTATTCTTGTAACCACTATCGCTTACTATCGAAACTAAGGCGCAATAGTATCGCACGCCCAAAGTACCATCTCTAATGGCTCGCATTGTTTACATTTTGTTGGCACGCTAAAAAATAATAGAAACCCGTTGGATATAAAAGTAATTCCCGTGGCCCAGCCAAGCCTCAGTTTTACATGAGCTGCAGACGACAGTGGTACGTATCCGGAGGCCCAAGGAGCGCCATTGGAGGCCATCGGACAGTTTCCCCTACGAATTTGCAGCCACATTTCTGGCGTGACTGCGGCGCATTAAATCACCGGCCAAATCGCGGCGACGAACAACAACCGGAAGTGCAGCGCGAAAGGAGCAACTGGTGGCCATACACATGGAGGTTTACGCCTGGGTAGGATCTACACCCCCATCTCCTCCTCGAGAAACTAAGGATACCTTCGGAGCACCGAAGACTGGAACACCCTTGCAGACCAAGTATTTTCAGGGGAAACCCTAGGATGTTAAGATTCCAATAGGTTTTTTGATTGGCAATTTAAAACTATCTGAGGTTTCGATTTAAGCGTAACAACTTCACACGAGTTCTTAAAGACAATTATATGTAGATTTGAAAATGTCCATAACTATCAGATAGATTCGCTCCTTTCATATTTAAACAAGCATGAAAAATATAAGATTTCAAACTTCTAGAGATTTTGTACCCCTTTTATTTTAATTAACTTTATTGAACATTATATTTATAAAGATTTTTAATAGACCAACTATTTTAAAGGAAATATTGCGGTCATGTTTCAGACCAACAATCCTGTTACGTACCCCAAAAGTCAGAAATAGATTTAAAAATGTTTTAAACTATCAGATCTGTCCGTTCCTATCATATAGGATACATTTTTAAAAATAAGATAAGATAAGACTTGGAAAATAATAATTCGGCTTTTAAAAACCATTTGAAATCTTTCTAAAATTCTAGATTTTATAGATTTAACATATTCAAAGACATTTTTTTCCCCTATTGCCCATCAATCTTTTCAACTGACACGAACTTCAACTTAGAGTATATGAACTGCACTTTCCATTATGAACTTTGGGCTAAAATACTGCCCTCTGCAAGGGTAAGCCAAACAAAACAAAAAAGAGACATTTGCCAGGGCATTTGCATTGCAAATTAATGAGTGATTTCCTTCGGTTGGGTTTTCGCCCTTTTTAATTTTTTTTGTTCTGTCTCAGGGTGCCAATTCTCACGGCCAGCTCGGCCTTGGCTTTGAGTCTGAATTGTGCATGACACCGCAGCGGGTGACCAAGTGCTCCTTCGCCGCCCCCCAAGTGCGCCTCATTCGCGGCGGTGGCGGCCACGTCCTCATCCTCGACTCAAATGGCAGGGTTCACTCCTGCGGCTGGAACAATCGTGGTCAACTGGGACTGGACTCCATGGAGGACTGCCACAACGAGTTCCGGATGATTCCCACCGAGTACTTTGGGGTAAGACATTGTAGAGATCTTAAGAAACATATCATTTTTATACATTTTAAATCACCATCCAAATATATGCAACCGCAGACATAATTTAAACTTGTTGAGAAGGTTTAATATTTCATATTTCATTTTTAAAAATTAAATTATAACCTTGTAATATAAAAGATATTCGTTATGTTTTATAAATATTGCCAATATATCACTTTTTAAAGACGACAGACCTAATATAAAAATTGTGATGGAATTCTATAACCCTGTATTATGAAATATTTTCATAATTTTTATCGCCATACAAATATATTTCTTTTATAACCCTACATTTATTAGATCGACATTTTCTGCTTTCCAGAAAGTATCTGTAGACCGCACACAAAATGTAAACCCATTGCACCCTTTTCTTTTCAATATTTAACCTCTATAAGCACTTTTATTTTAGAAATGAAAATACTTAATACTGTATTATATATCCTTAAACTATTTGCAGTAATTTCAACTGTCATTTTCTTAATTCCAGGACGTACCTGTGGAGACCATCAGTTGTGGCTGGGACATTTCCGGAGCAATTACGCTGACCAAACGCCTATATGTCTGGGGCTCGAATGCCTTCCAGCAGTTGGGGATTTGCCAGCGTGGATTTATAGCGGTCAGAAAGCCCATGCCAGTGAAACTGCCTCGAGATGAGCTCGCCCAGAGGATTAGCTTTGGCATGAGGCATTGTGCGGTACTCACCAAGGACAACAAGATCTATGTGTTCGGAAGACTCAAGATCATGGATCCACCGCCCATTGAACTGGATATTACGGCCACCTGCCTGCACCGCTGCAACACGGTGAAGATACAGGTCCACAATCCCAATGAACTGCGAATTGTTTCCATTTCGAGTGGCCAGAATCATATGTTGCTCAAGTGCGTGGATACTAGCGATTCGGGTGGCGGCAGCACCAAGCGAATCCTCACCCTAGGAGATAATAAATTTGGGCAATCCAATGCCTTCCAATTCGAGGAGGATGTGCGCCAATTGGCCGTGGGTTGGACTCACAATGCGGCAGTGCTAAAAAACAACGAGATCCTTGTGTGGGGTCGCAATTGCTATGGTCAGTTGGGAACTGGTTCCTTCAGCGAACAGCAGGCTTTCCCTACACCGCTACACCTTAAACTTCCGGAGGACCAGAGCACAGCAAGGATTCACATGGGAGCCGAGCATGGGCTGCTGAGAACCACAAGTGGAGAAATCTACACCTGGGGTTGGAACGAACACGGAAATTGTGGCAACAATAGCACCGAAAACTTGTAGGCATAGAATATGAATTTGATAGAATAAAGTAATCTTTAAATATGTATATTTTTTCAGATGCACCCCGACACTTTTACCACTGCCCCCAGTTAAATTGTGCGGCGCTGGAGCAGGATTTTGTTATGCAATTACAGAGCCTCTTACCTGACTTCCGACTTTATACGCTTTTTTGTGAATTTTAGCTTAGGTCATATTTGTATATTACTGTGTACAGCTTTGCTAACAATTTTTAAATAAATATATTACTGTTGATTTTGAAATTATATAGATCCGAAAATCTAGCGGATAAATATGCATTTTTATAAAAACACACGACATATTAAGAACAAAGAAATTCCCATTAGGGCAGTAATTAAAAATAAATGCAAATTATTTTAGCTTTTACAATGTGTCAAAATAATTTCCTTTCTAAATTTAGTTAATTATGCAAGGTTTGGCAGGCAAATGATTTTCCGGTTCTTTGGTCACACTGCAGCTTTTTGACATTTGCACATGCGCTGTTTCCGAAAATGTGTTCGTGCCAAATATTTTCGTCAAATATTTTTTTATCTTGTTAAAAAAGGAGCCTGTTATTGTTATCTCTGAATTATATTATATTGGCATATGTGAGTGAGTAACAGCTTGGCAAAATATATAATTAAAAGTATTTATTATAAAACATATAATAAAGTGAAAAAATTGAATAACTTTTAAAATAGTCTATTTATATAATTTATAATATATATATTTTATATATTTATATATATATATATATATATATATATATATATATAAGATAATGGCTTTACCAACACATATATATATATATATATATATATATACTATATGGATACTATATATATAGTGTTGGTAAAGCCATTAATCTTGTGTCAAAATTTTGGGGAACATGTGTCTTCTATTTTTTCCTGTGATTTTCTTGGAAAAAAACTTGACATAAGTTTGTGCTGCAGTGGCAATAAATTAAATGTTTACGTGTAATCCAAGCCTGAATTGATTTGGTTTATAAACAAACACGGAGAGTGCGAATTGTTTGGGCTTGCATTTGATAACTTCCCCCACTGGCTTTTATTTTACTTCCATTCAGAGAGCTGCGGGAGACAGCCGAAAAAGGTTGCACAATTTTTAATTTGGAAAGTTTCAATTGACAGATATACTTTATAAATTAATAGTTTCTTTATTAAAAAACCTAAAATGTCCGAGAATACCAATAAGGTCGAATTAACACCTGATGAACTGGATGCCCAGGAGGCAGCGGCGGCCACTGAAGGTAAAATATTTTCTTCAATTTAAAGGTCAACCAAATTTATTTGTATAATATTATATCTAACAGCCAACATATCCAGTCAACTGGCCAAGCAAATCTGGTCTGTAAGGCCCAATGATGTTGGCCTGGGAATTGTGGAACCGCCCGAGCCACCTGTGCCCAACTATGACACTCCATCTGGCTTGGGATCTTCGAGTAAGACATCGTCCAGCGATAATGCCTCAATTTACATAGGCGAAGTGGAACGGGCTCTTTATGGTGATTCATCTGGGTATCCGGAAAATGGCAGTCACAATCACTTCAAGGCTGCCGAGAATTATTCATTGTATGGCGAGAACTTTCTGGACTTTCCCAAGGATGCGGATTCCTGTTTTTCGGGCTTGGGACCGATGGTCAATCATTCCTCGCATCCTGCGCCAGGATTCGAACGATCCGCCAGATTGGCGGCTCTATATGACAGAGGACAAGCTCAGGGATCCAACTTTCCGGGGGTAAGATATGTTCAAGTAGACTGGAACTCTGATCTATATGTTTTTGTGGGGAATTTTCGGTTTAAATATGGTTGTGTTGCCTTGTTTTGTATTGACTAACTTTATTTTTGGCTAAAAATATAAGCTATATAGTATAAGGATCATAAGAGGTATTGGATTGATCTAATCATTTGTAAAGTAAAAATTATAAGCTGACATTTTTTAAAACTATCACATTTCAGGGCGGCTATCAGCAACAACAAAGACAGCCACATCAGCAGCAGCAACAACAACATCGGCCACCTGGCCACGATAATAACAACAACAACAACAACAACATTAGCAATTTGCCTAAGAATTTCAATGAGATTCCGTTTCCACAATTTTATCATCAGATGCAACATCAACAACCGCCACACCCACATTTGAATCCACCACACCACCAGCATTATTTCAACATGCCACAAAAGCAACAGCAGCAGCCAGGAGCTCCATTTTCACAGCAGCAGCAGCAGCAACATCTGCAGCAGCAGCAACATCTACAGCAGCAGCAACAACATCTGCAACAGCAACAACAGCATCAACAACATCAGCAGCAACAGCAGCAACATCTTCTGCAGCAACAACAGCATCAACAACATCAACAGCAACACCTGCAGCAGCAACAGCAGCAGCAACACCTGCAGCAGCAACATTCGCAGCAGCAACTTCCACATCCGCAGCAGCAACATCAGCAAACAATTCCAGGAGCAACTCTAAATGGAGGAGACTTTACAGGATTGGGTCATTGCAATCCCAATGATCTCTCTATATCGCAGCTCTATCAGCAACTGGTGGCTTGTAGCTTGCGCTCCAATCAGCAGCACCACCAGCAACATGCACAGCAGCAACAACAGGCAACCCAACAGCAACAGCAAACGCCATCCAGTGCTGCCGCCACTGCTGCCATTATTTTCGCCAGTCTTGAACGTCAGCAACAGGTGCAGCTGCGCCAATTGCAACTGCAACAATTGCAGCAGCAGCAACAGCAGCAGCAGCAACAGCAGCAACAGCAGCAACAGCAGCAGCAGCAACAGTCGCGTTTGCCACGTGGCATTTTCGGTGGCAACAATGGACAGTCAAACGGAGGAACAACTCCACCAACAGGCAAGGAACCTCCGGCAGGAAATCACATATAAGACTGTAAATTCAAGGGAGTCCCAAAAAGGTCAGACTCCATATTCATCAAGTCAAACGGAATTTAAAATCAAATTTTAAATCTATCAAATTTACTTTTTAACAAAATTATTTCAAGTCAGACTTCATATTCTCCACAAAAGGAATATTTAATCGACTTTTAAATCCAACAAATCATTTTAAAACAATTATTTCATTAATTTATTTCTGGCTCTCTTTGGACTTGCTAGCTTTTAAACTACTTCTTTTATTAACTATTTTTTATGAGCAAAATTCAACCTTCGATTAACAAAACAAAATGTCAGACTTTTATAAACAATCTTAACCAATTGTATACAAATAAAATAATTAAATTATTAACCAAGTCTAACCTCATATACCAAAAAAAAAAAAAAAAATGCTACTTATAATAACAATCATAATAATTTACAATATTATGATAATAATTTCACGTAATTTCACCATATTAACATATATTTTAAATACAATTTTTTTTTAATAAAAACCAAATTAAAAGTTAAAAACACATATGTATTTATAAGTTTCTGTTGGTTATCTGTTCCCATTAAATCCGATCAAACAGCCGGTGCAATGCCGATTCTTTGCCTGGCCCAATCGAACTCCACGTAGTTTTCCCTCAGGAACACATCGCCGATTATCCAGAAGGTCAGACCTCGCATATCCATAAAGCCAGAGTAGCAAAAGTCCTGGAAGACAATCACATATGTCTGTGGCTTCACATAAAACTCTTTGCCGGCAATGCCAAAAACAATCACTGGAAGCTGGGGAATCGTTGAACAGTCAACAGTATACAGATCAAAGGTGGCATTGTGCTGGGCTCCAATGGCATTGTTTATGGAAAGGACATCCAGAACGGGTCCAACTATCAGAGATGTACCCGTATCCATAATGGCCTTGCATCCGCCTTCGCAACGCCTTGATCCCTTGCCATGAACCTCCACGAAATCCATTTTGAAAGTCCAATACTTGGCCTCCGTGACATTCGTGTAGGTCAAGGGGCCATAGTACAGACTCGAATTCGAGCCACCGAGTATCATTGAGCCACCGTCGCTGGAGCCACTTTTCAAGTGAAACGAAAATATGGGCTTCTCCACCAATTTTTGGTCGATCATTTGCTGGAAAACAGGCGTGGATCCAGTCATTGAGAGTGGCTGAAAAGCCAGGCCACAGATGCCATCGAAATTGGAGCAGGAATCGGAAATGTTGACCAAACCAATGCCCTGTTTTTGGATTCTCAAATCCCCAAAAGCCACATCATCCGAGGCCACAATTCCTTTTACCGATCCCGATCCGTAAGTAATGGTAAAGGGAATTTTATCGGTTTGAAAAGTTTTCGAGTGGGATTCCCTAAAAAACTTATTGCCGCATTTTTTGCAAAATTTGCAATGCGAACTGGGCACCCAAAAATCCGAAGATCCTGTGTCGAATTGCATGGTGAATGATTGTTCTCCAGTCGACACATCCCCATAGAAATTGGTATCGTACGAATTTATCAAAGTTTCGGTTAACACTGCGCCGCCTTTGGCTTCACTTGATAAATTTACAGCATTTACTGTTTGAAGTGGTGTATATCCGTACTTTCTTCGCAGGGCATTTCGGAATTGTAGATGCAAATGGGCGTGGGGCACTTTGTGATGTCGGTGGGAACGTCTTTGCAGGCGAAATCGGTGAACTTTACCTTCTACCAACACGATCAGGCAGAAAAGTAGGATAATCACACGTAAATTCATGGTCACTCACTGACTTAGTTCCTGGTCAACACACCTGTTTTTATAGCTTTGCTTGTGAGATATTTTCCCATTTGCCATTTATTTAAATTCACACGTAAAGTTGGTTAAGCATGGGGCTTAAACTGAAATATGTGATATATTATAAAATACATGTTGCATTGAATTTACTTTTTTTTTTCTGAAAATTGTTAAATAATCTCTAATATTGGATTTTCATTTCACAAACAATCGGTTCTCAGAACAGTGCTTATTGGAAATAAATAATAATATATATTTTAAATTTGAAAAAATGTATTTAATTTCACACGGAAAGTCGGTTAAGAATATGTAATACATTAACAAACAAATCATACCCTGAAAATCATATAAGAAGAGAGATTTTTTAGTATTAGTAATGTATATATCTGAGCTTTTATTTTTCAAAAGGAGTTTATTTATTAAAAATTAATAGATTCGTTTACAATGGGTTATTAATAAAAATATATATTTTTAACGCGGAATAATATTGTGTAAATTAGTGAACTGCTGGTGCTAATCCAATAAGTTTGTTGACAGTGTCGTAGACCGTGTAGTAAACTCCCATGAAAATTTCACCGAGAATCAACAGGTTGTTGCCCCTCAAGCTGGTGAATCCCGAGATACAATTGGGTCCATATCGCAGTACATAATCGGTGGACTTCAAGCGAAATTCCCGGTGGCCAATGGTGAAAATAATATCCGGTAGATCTTTGATCCTAAAGCAATCCACGAAAAAGACACTGCTCGAGTGGTCGTGGTTAATGCCCAATATATGATTGATTGCGTTTAGATTTTCCTCGGGCACAACAATCAGGGAAGTGCCCACATCGAGTATAGCTTCGCAGTTTTTACAAAAGCTAAACCCATTCACCGTGGCACTTTCCATGGTAAATTGCCAGTATCCAGCTGTTGAAACGGGCACATACGTGAGACATCCACTATAAAGTCCCGGATCTGTGCCGCCCAAAATCAATTCACCACCGTTTACGGCATCTGTGCCATTCCTATTGAGGTAAATGGAGAACACTGGCTTTTTTATCAGACCCTGAGCCACCAAATTGAAGAACGGTGGGGTAATACCCTCGATGGCTATGTTCGGGAATCCCAAGCCCAAAATGCCAACGAATTCTGCTTTTAGAAAGGCCAAGGCCTCTGGTGCATTGGTGATCTCGGCAAATGTTTGATTTTTAATGGCAAATCCAGCTATGTTCACTGTGTCCTGGGATTGAAAACCCGAGAGGGCAATAATTTCTCCATCCCTATTAGAGCCATATTGAATAGTGAACTTGGCATTCATAGCCTTGTGAGTTGTGGAAGCACTTGAATTGTATTTCTTCTGCTTGGCACAGGGTATAAAAGTATCTGGGCACTGGCTCGAATAAACCCATAAATTGGCAGAACCTGTATCTATCAGTACGTTTTGTTTCTGTGGCGGATTTCCAATCTCTAAGGACACAAAATACTCCGTGTTATATAGGTTTCCAAGCCTGGCCACTCCTGATCCAGCGTCTAATGTTTTTGGTTTCGTGGTAGCCACAGTTTCTGAAACATCCACTATTAGTTTGTGCTTTATGGACAATGTCTTTAGTTCGTTTTGAACATTCTGCTCGATTGGTTCAGGATTCTTGTGTAATCCAAGTCTCAAACGTTTACTCGATTCCACTTCAAATGCAAAGAAAGTCAGTATTGTTAGCCAGCACAGCAGTAACTCAAGCCAGTTCCACTTGACCTTCATGGTCACCGAGTTTTTCGATTTGCCAATTGAGGCCTATTTGGTCACGTATTTATAGCTCAGCAGCTTGCCTTAAGTTTCTTACTTTCAGATAGTTAAAGCATTGCAGCTGAGTTCTTTGGCTTCACGCCATTAAGCGCAGAATTTCACACGCGATAGTGTGAAGCATTCTGCATTTCGAACATTTTTGGGGGTGCCATTAATCAATAATTATGTGTATATTAAATATACAATGGTACGAAAAGGTTAAATGGCTCAAAACATTTATAAATTGATTGCAGTGTTCCTACATTCAAGACTTAATTAAGAGGTTTTTCTTTTTAATAAAAAGTTGTTATGTTTGTTTGTTTTATTTCTATATACTTATAATTTTTTTTGCCTTGTCTAAAATTATCATATGCATGCGACGTTTTTGGCCAGTATATCCATTTACTAATTTAAAACCATATCTTTTAAGAGCATTTTTTTTTTATTTTTATAATCACTTGAAATCTTAATATTTAACAGAGCGTTCGTTCGTTCGTTGAAGATTTAAGCCAGGTTGGCGAAACCCACGCGGTTCAGGCCAAAATCGAACTCGGAGTAGTACTGTCCCAGGAAGACATCACCCAAAATCCAGAAATCGGTGCCAATGTAGGTGAAAGTGGACATGCAGGTGGTGTAAGTGTCATCGGTGTAGGTTTGAATGTAAACCGAGGGCGGCAGATCGAAGTTGGTGCCACCAATGTTGAAGGTCAGAACGGGCAGCGAGTTGACAGTGGCACAGGGCACATAGTACTCGCCCTGGATCAGAACAGCTCCAATCAGGGAATTAATCTGGGCATAGGCAGCCGGAGGACAGGCGATCAAAGAGGTTCCAGTGTCGGCGATGGCCTGGCAGCCACTGCAAACCACAGTGCCATTCCAGGTGATGTTATTCACACCGAACTGCCAGTAACCTTGTTGGCTGACCTCAACATAGGTCATCTCACCGTCGATCAGGTTCTGATCGGTGCCACCCAAAGCCAGTTGTCCACCCTCCTCCGAGGAGCCATTCCTGTCCAAATAGAAACCAAAGACGGGCTCATCAATCAATCCCTGCTGGTAGAGATTGTAGAACGGCGGCACCACATTATCCTCGGCGATTTGCTGGAAAGCCATGCCCAGAATGCCATCGAAGGCCACATTGGTGAAGCTGTCGCCTGGCTGCGAAATGGCCTCTCCAAAGGTCTGATTGGTTATAGATAGACCATTGATCGACACAGTATCTATGGCCAGGTAGCCAGTGACACTGCCAGTTCCGTATTGTATGGAGAAGTTCTGGCCACTGGACACAAAAGTGGAGGAGGCACTGGAGTTGTACTGATTGTGCTGCTGACAGGCCACATCGGTGCTCAAACACTGGGCAGATGGAACCCACAAGTTGGCGGAACCCGTATCGAAAACCACATTAAAGTACTGCGGCGGGGTGCCAATGGCTATCTCACCATAGTAGTACATGTTCATGGAATTGCCCAGCTCCTCGGTTGTATAGTCATTTGCACTCTGACTGGGATAATCATTGCCATAATCGGGCTGCACATAAACAGGAACTCCATCCTCGTAAATAACAAGATCATCCGTCTGATGGTACTTGTATTTCAAAGCCTGAATAGCCTGCTTTCGATTGCGATGAGTGTTCTTGTGATCCTTGTTCTTGTGAATCTTAATGCGCTGAATCTCAGCACTGACCAAAGCCAGGATGGTCACCAAAACCAGCCACTTCAACATTTTACTTTATTATATTTTTTATAAAATTTCAAAAAATATTTATTTTCTTCCCCCTTTATTGTCTGGGGCTAGACTGAAGAAAATAACTGAAAGCACTGCTATTTATATGGTCGGTGATAAGTCCAAGACTGGCCCAAAATTGATCACCAATCGAAAAAGATATCAAATTTGATCGATAGTCCTTATCGATCTTGGCCTTTGTTTACACGACTGGGTGCCGTGCAAAAGCGAAACTCGAAGCAATCAAATTCAGCCTTTGGGATTTCAGATAAACTTCCAAGTAAATCGACAAAAAACTTTCATTGAAAATGTCTGGCAATTAATAGCGAATTTTGCACCCTATTGATAAGAAAACTTAAGTTTGTTGTCAACAATTCATTTTGTACTGGAACATTTTGTTTTGATCATATTATTTATTAGATTAGATATGTAGATAGCAATATTAATTCAAAGTATTTTTTGATTTTAATAAATTTACATTTAAGTAAAAATTAGTTCATTTGTAGGTGTTTAATAATATTACATTGTTTTTTTTCCCACAACCGTGTTATTTTTGAAAACTATTAGTACACATTTTTGAAATACCTATTTTTGTTCTCCATCAAATAAAGCGGTTTTAATAATTTAATTTATTAAGATAATGTGTATTTGTATCTGTCTAGATACTGAGGGTATCTGCCTGTCACCAAAAAGAAATATTTGTATTATTTATTATTTATTTATATTTTTTTTAAAAACGGGGAAACAAAATGTTGTATCTTTTGGTTTGAAAATATTGTTAAGAACCTATATAAATATTTTTTGCCGAATTTGTGTTTAGTATATTAACTTTTAATTAAAAATAATACTATATAACTAACGTTTTGTATTTTTTTTGCCCACAACCATTTTATTTATTTAATTCAATTACAAGTTTACAACTTTTAAAAATATTTGGTTAAACTTTGGGTGCTATGCCAATAAGCTTGAGTCCGAAATCGAACAATAAGAAGAATGCCCCAAAAAACACGTCGCCAAATACCCATATATTATTCAGTTCGTCGCTTCTATCACTAGAGGTCTCAGCACTGCAGTCGGAGAGACTTGCGAAACCAGAAACGCAGGTTCCACTGTAGTTGAGAACATAATCGGAGGGGGTCAAAGTGAAGTCTTTCCAACCAATATTCACGACAACATTCGGCAGACTGGACGCCTTGCTGCAATCGATGATGTAGACGCCATCTCTTTTAGACGATTCCTTGATGCCCAGCTTGTTATTGATGACTTTCAGAGCCGGACAGGGAACAATTATCAACGAGGTACCCGCATCGAACATGGCCTGGCAATTATGGCAGAGTGTTTTGCTGCCTATCTTAATTCCGCCCACAGTGATCTGCCAAAAACCGACTTTGGAAAGCGGCACATAGGTGAGACATCCTCTGTAAAGAGTGGGATCCGAACCGCCCAGCAGCAAAACTCCACCATTGCTGGCATCCGAATCGTTTCGATTGACGTACATCGAATAAATGGGATCGTCGATGAGTCCTTGAGCGATCATATTATCCAGCGGGGTTGTCACTCCATCGAGGGCAATTTGAGAAAGTCCCAGACCAAGAATGCCATCGAAATTGGAACGTTTACAGAGGCTCAGAGGTGCTGAATTAATCACACCAAATGTCTGATTCTTCACCGCCAAATCGCCAACTGTGAAAGTGTCCGTGGAGAGGAATCCATTCAGATCGCTTTGCGATGCATACTGTATGGCAAAGGATGCTCCATTCTGCTGATGTGTTTGCGACTTACTTTCGTCGTAACCATTGTGTTTCGCACAGGACTTGTTGGCGAAGTCCGAGGAATAAACCCAGAGATTTGCTGAGGCTGTGTCCACTAGAAGAGTGACCTGCTGGGTTTTAGGCTGCCCGAAATAGGCTTTTATATAGTATTCCGTATTGTGGGAATTGGTCAAGTTATCTCTCGACACAGGTTTTGTTACGGCAAAGGATCCTCCCACTGCCTCTGTATCTTTGGTTGGGAACAGTATATTCTTGAGCCTCCACTTTTGGCTGCGGAAACTCCCGAGCACCTTGGTGTGATTGGTTTCTCTGTGCAGACTCAGTTGCACCGACTTTCGCCATCTTATCCTCGATTCCACACCGCTTGGGCTGAGGCACAAAATGAGCGCAAAGGTCAGTGTCAAGGTCAGGGTCATTGCCAGTCCGAGTTGCTTTGAAGACTGCATCGCACTTGGTCGTCACTTTGGCCCTAAATCGAGAAGAGGTCACGTATTTATGGGAAACCAAGCTAGAATTCCACTGCAATCAAGTCGGGCTTAGGTATTTCGTTTTATGCAATGTAACTAAATAGGATTGGCTGACACGTGGCCGGTATTCGTGCATTTATTTAAGCTACGAGTTTTGGTTGATTTAATTTTATCGAACAAAACTAGTTTATAATAATAAAATAATTTGAATTCTCACTTTCCGTTAAATTTTTCTCACTTTCTGATTTCTACTTCAGAGTTTACACCATTTCTACATTATTTACCTGCGACATCTGACGGCACAGCTTGGCTATAGCTTCCAAAATTCGCCATAGAGAGCGCTTTTCCTGTCTACTCCGTAGAATTCAATGTAGAAATCATTTCACTTTTAATCATTTTACATTTAAGTAACACAATCGATATTATTTGAAATAAACAGGATTTAATTAAAGATTGATTGTTAAAAAATGAGTAATCTCTTTTAAAACGTTTTAAAATATTAACTATTAACAGTTGAATCTTGACCAACGCAACAATTAAGCTTGAAAATCAACAAACAATAAATGGTCCTAAAACAAAAAAAAAAACAAAACAAAAAAACCAGCACGAAAACACACAAATTTTGCCGTTACGTTTTTTATTTTATTTATAAGCTTGAACAATTTGTTGAATTTCCATATATAAACAAAATATTTGTTTATGTTTGAACTGCTTGCATCTTCAAAAAATACGCATAATGCTTTTAAAGGTAGACATGCAAACATGCCCCTGGATGTGCGAATGTACAAATTGGCATTTGTTCAAATAATATATTGCTGGGAAGTTCTATATAAGAAAACGGGGGAATATTTTGAAAATCAGTTTATAGGCAACATTTGCCTTTTGTGGTTCAACACATTCGAAACTCTTTCGAAATGTTTCAGTTCAGAACCTTTTTGTTTTACGCGTTTGTTGTGGGCAATCTGTACGGTGTGGTTAAATCCCAGGAAAATATGGGTTCAGTTTGTGTTCTAACGGATGCCCCAAAACAATGTGGGGCATTCTGTCTCTCCGCTCAACTTCCATTCATCGATCACAATTACAAGGTTCAAAGGCAATTGAAATCCCTTTCCGAAATGCTAGAAAGAATTGAAAAATCAGCATTGACGGTGCAAAATAAATCTCCAGCAAATTTGGAAAGTATTCAACAAAATGCATTGAATTTCCAAAAAGAAAATCAGGCCAAGCTGGACAGAATTGAAAAAGAAATACGGGAATCTAAGGTATATATATTGGACAGAATCGAAAAAGGATCACAGGAAACACAGACAACTATGGAAGGAATTCAAACAGAAAGTCAGGCCAAGATGGACAGTATTCTGCAGAAGGCCAAGATCATCTCGCTTGGTTTCCAGTGGATAGAATCTAGATACTTCTATATAGAAAATAATGCCAAGCAGAGCTGGACAAATGCCGAAAACACTTGTCGCAAGAGGGGAGGCCATTTGGCGGCTTTCGATAATCAAAAGGAATTTGACGCCGTCATAGCGAAACTCCATCGTAATACGCCATACTGGTTGGGCATTAGTGATCGAAAAAAGGAGGGCGAGTTTGTCTCTGAGTCCGGAAACCGTCCAAAAATATTAACGTTTGCCCCTGGAGAACCCAACAACGACGGTGGCAATGAGGACTGCGTCGACATCTATAATGGGGTTATGAATGATTTACCATGTGATTTGCAACGTCATTTTATTTGCCAGTTAGACAGTGAAGTTTAGTAAAAACTAAAAATACTAAGATTAAAATGTTAAAATGTCCATATATTACAAGATATAATGGTTACAATAAAATGTATAATATAAATAATAATATATTTCAAGAAAATCAAGTAATCTCCTCATAAATAATAAAAAAGTAAGAATCTATTTATATCATATGTAGATATATTATATAATCTTCAATCGAAGCTAAAAAGTTATTTAATATTTATATTTAATTACTGTTTAATGACTCAGGATAAGCTATATTATATTGCTAAACATTTTTTTAATTAAACCTTTTGCATTCTTGTATACATTTTTGCGATAACAAATTGTTTATAAACTGGCATATTTGCATTTCGTTTGTTTATGTTTGCACTGTTTGCATCTTCAGAATAAACGCGTGTTGCTTTTATTCACCATAGAATTCTTCGGATGTGCTAATTGTATTTATTCCCGTTACACGTAGCGTATACCAATATTGAAATTGTTTAATAATATTTTTTCGAGAATCTCTATATAAGAAGACGGCGATAAATTACAAAATCAGTTTGCTGGCAACATTCGCCTATTGTGGTTCAAGACGCTTGAAAATTTTGAAATGATTAAGTTCGGAATTCTTTTACTTTACGCCTCTTTTGGTTGTAATCTGTGCGGTATGGCTAAATCCCTGGAACATACGAGTTCAGCTTGTGTTCTAACGGATGCCCCAAATCAATGTGGAGCCTTTTGTCTTTCCGCTCAGCTTCCATTCATCGATCACAACTACAAGGTTCAGGGGCAGTTCAGTTCCATTACTAAAATACTAAATGAAGCCCTGAAAAGGCTGGAAGATATTGAAAAGGCACAAAAAGAATCTGCGGCAAATCAGGCCCTAATGGAAAAAATTGAAAAAGAATTACTGGAATCTAAAGCAACTGTAGAGAAGATTCAACAAGAAAATCTGGCCAAGATGGATAAAATTGAAAAGGTTATACTGGAATCTGAGAAAACAATTAAAGAGATTCAAAAAATTGTGCAAGAGCCCAAGGTTATACCGCCTGGTTTCCAGCGGATCGAATCCAGATATTTTTATATAGAAAGCGAAAATAAACAAACTTGGAATAATGCCGAGGACACTTGTCGTAAAATGGGAGGTCATCTGGCAGCTTTTAAAAGTCGAAAGGAACTTGACGCCGTCATAGCGAAACTCCGTCAAGGACATGCATACTGGTTGGGCGTCAGTGACCAGGAAAATGAGGGCGATTTCGTAACTGCCTCCGGAAATAAACCAATATTTATGACCTGGGGCAGGGGAGAACCGAACAACCTAAATAAAAGGGAGCACTGCGTCGACATCTATAGGGGATTTATGAATGATTTGCCGTGTAATTTGCAACTTCATTTTATTTGCCAGTTAGACAGTGAAGTTTAATAAAAACTAAAAATACTAAGATTAAAATGTTAAAATGTCCATATATTACAAAATATAATGGTTACAATAAAATGTATAATATAAATAATAATATATTTCAAGAAAATCAAGTAATCTCCTCATAAATAATAAAAAAGTAAGAATCTATTTATATCATATGTAGATATATTATATAATCTTCAATCGAAGCTAAAAAGTTATTTAATATTTATATTTAATTACTGTTTAATGACTCAGGATAAGCTATATTATATTGCTAAACATTTTTTTAAATAAACCTTTTGCATTCTTGTATACATTTTTGCGATAACAAATTGTTTATAAACTGGCATATTTGCATTTCGTTTGTTTATGTTTGCACTGTTTGCATCTTCAGAATAAACGCGTGTTGCTTTTATTGACCCTAGAATTCTTCGGATGTGCTAATTGTATTTATTCCCGTTACACGTAGCGTATACCAATATTGAAATTGTTTAATAATATTTTTTCGAGAATCTCTATATAAGACGGCGATAAATTACAAAATCAACTGCCTCCGGAAATAGACCAATATTTTTGGCCTGGGGCAGGGGAGAACCGAACAACCTAAATAAAAATGAGCACTGTGTTGACATCTATAGGAGACTTATGAATGATTTGCCGTGTAATTTTAAATTTAAGTTTTAAAAAAATAAGTGTAATTATACAAATTTTAAATTAAAATTTAATACAATACACTAAAGGTATAATATATAAAAAAATTGTATAGACACTGTAATAAACGTACAAATTTGAGTTTTAAATAGTTAAAAGTAAAACTAAAAATGCAGTGAAAACCCAATTTGAAGACGATAAAAGTTACCAAAGTTAGTTTAATTACTATATTATATTAATTAATTTTAAGGTTTAACTTTGGCTACTTTAAATAATTAATTCGCATTCATTCTTTGAATTTCTCTACAAAATTTCATCAATAAAATCAATGGCCAAAACTAAGAAGTTTCCCAACTGGATGGAAAGAGGTTTCCGCATCTTTTCGTTGACTTTCGAGTTGACCCAAGCCCAAAGAAAGCTGGCAGTCAAATCCTTTTTCCCTTGGCCAATAATGAATGCAAACGAAAGTGATTGCAAAAGTTTTGCTAGGCGCCCAACCGACCAAAACCACGCCTCATTTACCCACCGAAAATAAACCAAGTTTTATTTGCTAATTGCAGTAAAAGTGTAGCCAAAGTAAGGGAGTTTGTCCGCAACTCGAGAAAAACTTCGATTTCAATTGGAGTTCCTTCCTATTTTACGAAAAAACAGCCTTTGGCGTTGAGAACGTTTACAAAAATCTTTAGACAACAAAGAATGAAAGTTTACTCCAAGTGAAAATACTCTATCAATTGAAAAACAATAAAAATGTGCAAATTTGTGTAATTTTTTTGGAAAAGGATATTTTATTCATTACATTTTTTATCTTTTAAAAAATTATTGTGATGACAATATTGTAATTTTTGGTGAATAAATAACTTATATGAAAAGTATATTTTTCTCATGCCATTTAATTTAAAAAACTTATAAATTTAATTTTTTAGAAAAAACTTGCGATTTATTAAAGCTTTTGGCACTAAAAGCATACAATTAGTTTCTTAAACTCTTTAAAATTTAAAGTGAAGTTCGTTATTTAACCAGAAAGAGTTCGTTTTAAAAATCGTAAACTTATGTGTTGCGATTTCTTGGTGAACAAGGTTTGATTAAAGTTTTATTAAAGACAAATAATTAATGTAAATTGACCAAGACCATTTTGAAGATACTTAAGTAAAAGTAGTACCCCAAGAGTGCTGGAAAAATCTGCCTTGTTTCGTTTTCGGTGGTAAAAGCTGACTGGCATCGTTTTTCCGCAAATTTCTTTGCAAGTTTTTCCGCCATCCGGCTGGGAGTTTTTCCGTGAGTGGAGATTGCGAGGATGTGGAGGGCTATGTTGTAATTGAATTTGCGTCAAGTTCCATTAAGTGGCGTAAACTTTTGGCCTCTGGAATTGAACTTGGCTCACCGCATGTGCATTTTTCATATGTTTATCGCACAGTTGCGATGTATTTTCCCTTCGATTCCGTTCGACGACAAGTTTTGGACGGGGAAAAGCTAAAAAAGTGAAAAGAAAAGAAAGGAAAACCAAGATAAGTCTGAGCTGTCAGTCACAGGGGTCGCATATGTGCGGTTATCAATGAAGCATTAAATTGTTTCTGGCATTTTACAATGGCATCTCATCTTGGCCCAAAAAAAAAAACCACTACTTTTCATTTAGGACCCTTGTAAATCACATGAAAATCAGGCCCAGTCCATCGCCATCATCATCATTATAATCAACTAAACTATACACAACTGATTTCGTATGCAGGACCACACAAGTCCATTTTAAGTGGGCTCCTTTTTGCAGGTTTAATTTAGCGTATCAAATTTATGCATTTTATCTTGGCAAATGCATTAAATTGTTAATGTTTGGCGTTTTGTATAGAACATTGAGGTTGGGTGAGGGTTTTCCTATCTCTGACTTTGTATTGGGGTCACAACTGCTGCCTCGCTGCGTGCTTCGACATCAAATATTAAGATTGTCTGCGACAGCTGGTGACATCTCTTTTTACGCAGGACTTTTTTATGCCACACTTGCCATTTTTTCTTTGTTATATCTTTTATCACTTATCACCCTCTTGGTTAAATCTCTGACGTGTAGGACAATAATTTTCGAAGAAACATCAATTTTATAGATTTGTTATAAAAAAATGTTGGTTCTACAAAAGTAGATTTTTAATATATAGAAAAAGTCGCCATACATTTCTAAGGTATAAAAATGATAAAACTTCTACGAATGCAGATTATTTTATATATAATCCTGCAAATAAATAAATACAGCAAATGGTGTTTAATAGTATAAAGTAATGTGATTATTATTATTTATTTTAAAAGTGTATTGCATACTTTTTATTAATTTTTTTTTAAGTTTATTTCGTTACTCAAAAAATAATGTTATTCAAGAGTAGTTAAAAACGAATATGCGGTAAATCACCATTCTTTTATTTTCATCATATATAATAAAATCTATCCTACCCACTCCAAAAGGAAATCTATCAAAAAGTCAATTGTCAGCTCCAATTCCATGTCCTTCCATTCAATTCTCAGTCCAATTAAACGATTCACCCAAAGGCAGAATATGTGCATGCAAAACAATTTATCAACTTGTCAACATATTAAATGAGACTGGGTTAAAGACTTTGGCTACACCTCCCTCCCTCCCCCCTCCGAAAAATCACCTCCACCCATGGCCCATTCAATCCATCCCCTTCAACCCGTCAATTCAATGACGAAGCTTCAATAATATGCCAACTGCCAATATTGCGTATACGTAGCGTTGTGCGTCCATTGTTCACGAACCGAAATGTTTTGCTTGCTGGGATTTGTTTAGCAGTAAGCGGAAATAGTTGTAGGCCAATACGATGGGGGAGTGGTATGTGGTATGGTTTGGATATGGTTGGTAGAAGGGCCCAAACCGGGAGCATGTTGTGTATGTTGTTGAAGTTTATATGCAGGATAAACTGTTCAGCCAACTGACGTACACAGCATGTCCAGCAGATTTCCAGCAGACAGGATCGGGGGGGGCTCAGTCTGCCATAAAAGCAAATAACTGTCGTGTGTGTGCACTTGGGTGTGTGTTTTAGTTAACTGAACTATAGTTGTACTACACACAACACGCAAATACACACATTCACCCGGTATATATATATATATATATATAGATATACAGTATATCTAATATGTTTGTCCATCAATTGTGCTGTCCGAACTCGAAAGCCAGTGCAAACACATGCCGAAATCCAAATCCTTGGGTTAAGTCAACATTTCTGTTCCGAGTCAGTTAATAAATATTTTTTATGCCACATCAACGAGCAAAGTAAATATACCGTAAAAAAAGACGTCATCACAATGGTATGGTAAATATACTATGTATATTTTCAAAATGATCTTTGTTTGGCTGTCGGTTTATGGGCTTCGCAGCTGTTGCATTTCTACCAAGACTTTTCCATGTGTTTATTTGCTTATTTGTGGCCTTTGCCTTGGCCACATTTTCAAAGCCAAGTTATGTTTATTGTTTTCGTTATTGCAGGCCTCAGCAGTGGCCAATATTGTGGATAAACATGAAAGGCAATGAGTGTAAATCCCAATTAATTGATCAACACGGCGAATGCAAAGTCCAGTTTCGGGCCAAGGAAAATTAGTTTAGGTAAATAAGATTGAGGAAAAGGGATTGTGTTAACTCTGCACTCGGAGAAGTATGTGTGTTCTACGATAAATGCTACCAAATCACCAATGGGGTAAGTTGCCAAAAAGTAATTTTTTATTTTAAATTATATTAAGAAAAGTCATTAATACCAAAAAATTGCCATTTTAAATACTTAAATTAATACCAAAAGTGGCTTAAAAGTAAGCTATTTAAAAGCATTTTCTAATATATGTCTCTCTTAACTATTTGACGTCAATTTAATGCCTGATAGAAAAACTTTGTGAATTGGCCACAGAACACCGCCTTGCCAATAAAATGGAGAAGGCCAAACCAAACCAGTCCAATCGCAAACTCTCTGGAGTGAAATAACTCAGGCAACGATGACCCCCAACTACTTGGTTTTGCCCAAAATGGAAATGCCACCAGGAAATTTCAGAACACATGTTTGGAAAAGGTGGGAGTGGGAGTGGCACGCCTCTCTACAAGAATTTTCCGAGGCTAAAAAATGGGAGGGAGTCATCTATTAAGGTTTGACATTAGCATGAAAAACGCATTTTTCTTCAAGCACAAACAATGAAGAAAAGTCTGGAATGGAAAATGGTACAAAAAGAAGTGGGGAAAAAGGGAAAATGTTTTAAATAACTTTTCGGCAAAGTTTCCATTCTTATAAAGGTGACAAAGGCATTCAGATTTGCAGTATTCGATATCGTTACGATTCTGATTGAATCAAATTGTTAGAATTTATTTCTTGCCTTCCCTTCGCCAACCAGAAAAAAAGTTGTATTGTATTTTCCGTTTGGCATAT